AGCAGGACTGAAGGAGCAGGGCATGGACTGAAAAAAACCCTTATTGGATACTATGCTCACTACCAGGATGACGAGACACTTCAGGTTGCAAACCTCAGCATCACACAATATACGCATGTAACAAACCTGCACATGTATCCCCTAAATAATATATGTACACACACACACACACACACACACACACATAGACATATATATATATCACCTTAGTCCTAAACTCTGTGATTCCCCAAAGCCAGTGCATAGATCAAAGTAGCTATAGACTGACACTTCAGAGAGGCTTTTTAAAAGGACTGATTTCTTGAACTTGACAGCATGGTAGAATATGGCAAAAAAAAAAAAAAAAAAAAAAGAAAAGAAAAAAAATGGACTGATTTCTGGACCCTAGTTGGGTATATCTAGAGTAGGACAGGAAATCTGTATTTTATGAATTTTCCCAAGTGACTCTGATGAATAATCCAATTTGACAACCACTGCCCTGGGAGCTGCAGTGTAATCCAATTATTTCCTGGCAACCTGAAGGAAAGAGGTGAGGATGGATCTTGATTTACTGTATGAAACATAGATTCCCCAGAGAGGCTCTCCCTGGAAGACATCTTAAAAATCTATTTCAAGGTAGTTATTAATATTTCCTTGATTGTCATTCTAAAGCCATAGCAAAGATTTGATGAACTTTGCAGGTCACTTCCAACCATTCAATCTTACAAAATCGTGCTTAGTTCTATAACTGTTGCAATGATCTTTAGAAAAAAATTTTCCCTCTAGTAAAGAGTGCATTTACTTCCCACCCATTAAGCTAAGAAATCATGACATGTTCACACCCCGAGCACATTGAGTTCTTGATAGAAAATAAGATATTTATTTTATTGTGGGCACATAAAGTCACTGGAGATTTTATGATGACTTTCATTTTCAAAGAAAATCTATATTAAACATAAAACTAATATTTATTTCCTTCATTTTTGTATAATTTGCTTTGTAAAGAATTTTTCAAATTTTACACAACAAATGACTTGTCTTGAACAGATGACTCACTTTAATAGGATCTTATGTTTTCTCCTTGAATATTTTCACGCTTTTCTTAAATTAAAAAAGTCACCTTAACCAAACAAAGATGTAATGTATTCTACAATGTACAAAGTGCAGGTCTCAAATTTTCAGTAATTGTAACACCGGAATTTTGAATATATACCCAGTATATATATAATTGCTTTGAGCACTAAGGCCATTTTGAGGATATTGATTCTCCAATTCATAAGCATGGAATATTTTTCCATTTATTCGTGTTGTAGGACTGAGGATGTATTTGATCATGACTTGACCTCATTGTCAAGGGAAATGTGTCTCCTATTTTATCAGGTGCTGGGAGATATACGAGCTAGAGAACTTACTGCTGTAGTGGAAAGTTGATAGTTTCAGCTGTGCACCATTTCTGCCTGCTGTGGGCATCTGCTGTTGTCCCAAACGAGTGGCCTTGGTGAGTCTGCCAATTAGTATATCTACTGCTTTGTTCTCAAGGGTGAGCATGTGATCTCAGGTGGTCCAATTATGACAGGCTATCTTTCTTGGAGCAGTAATTGGCTTAGAAATGAGCATAAAAAAGATCAATCAGATGTTGGGTGAAAGAATTAGTCTTTAAGAAAAATTCCTCCTGAATTTGCTAGGCTGGAAGAATGTGACTCTAGGTCAATTGGAAATAGTTTTTTCCCCACCAAATGATGAGAGTTTGTTTAAATAAGGATGTAAATACATGGAGAGAGTCAGAGGATAGGGATGGGGAAAGAGGCTTATGACGTTCTAGATCTAATTGCATTAACTACTGAACTTCCGGCAATGTGAAGTTCCTGAATTTGTTTTTTAAGTGAGCTTGAATTGAATTAGTGAACAAATTGAATTGAATTACACACACCAAAAAATCTTGACAAATACAATTATTTTCTTCATTTTCCAGATGAGTAAACTGAAGCCCAGAAAGGCTAAGTAATTTGACCTATTTAGTAAGTAAATCAGACTTGAACTCATGTCCTAACACTCTAAATTATGTGTTCTTTTATATCATGCTTTCATTCCTCGGCATCTACTAAAGAAGTCCGGTACTCAGGAAGAGCATGACATAAGAAATGTGGCTGAGAACGATATTATACAAAAGACAAAGTTAGCTGAATTACTTTAAATCCAAATTTATGGGGCTTTGCAAAATTACAAAGGTCTAAGGTGTCAAACATTAAAAAAATAGTTGGCTAAGCACTTAAAATGAGAATTTAAATGCTATGTTATCCAAAGATAAGCACATTTTGTTCAGTAGTCCCTAAGAATTTTAAGTAAGTTTTGTTAAATTATGGGCAGCAGACGCACAAATCAATAATGCACAAATCTCCCCATGTTCTACTCTGTAGGCTAGCAGAGATATCTTGTTGCAAGTTAATATTTTACAAATGGCAGGACCTTATAACCTACCTTTAAATTGGCAGGCGAGTTTGGATGACTAAAACCTATGTATATGGAATTTTTGAGACAAAATGATATAAAGAGAAAATGAAGTTCTTTTTACCTTTTGAGGTTCACCTTTACCATAGTGACAAATCAAACCTTGATTCTTCAGAGCCTTAGTGTACCTGGAAGTGTTCTTTGATTTTACCTTTTTTTTTTTCTACTAATCTACCCCTATCCTTCTTTAAGGAATACTTTCCTAGGAGAAAGAATATGAAGAGCATACATGATGATTAACACTTGAACATTTAAGGAAGTACTAAAGGAAATAAAAACAGGAGAAAAGGGCACTGCTAAACACATCTGAATACATCCTGTAATTAATGTCTGGATTTTATTTTGTGTTTTTAATAAATATGATAAAATTTTAATGTAATAATTAATGTATAAAAAACACAATAACATTTATGTAAGTTATATAAGACCTTCTGTGACTCCATCACTGATCTTAAGCACTAAGACTCGGTCAGCCCTTGTAGAAATGTGATTGTCCCTAAGCCCAGCTTGTGCCTGTGTTTTTAGAGGTAACTAACTCCTCTCCTGAATTTTATGTTTGTCATTCTCTTACATTTTTAGAAGGAGTTTAGTTCTTTTTAGTAAACGTTTCTCTAACAATAACATTGTATACTTTTGCTTGATTTTGAACATTCTATTTGTATGATGCTTTATGTCATCTTCTGTGACTTGTTTATTTCATTCCACATTATGTTTCTAAAATGTATTTCTATGCTTGTGAGTAGCTTTAGTTCATTCATTTTTAGGTGTGAAATAATCCGTTGTATAAATATGTAGACTATTTAACTTAATATGAAGGTGTCAAACTATTTTCCAAAGCAATTACATTGATTTACATTCCCATCAGAAGTGTATCAATATCCATTGATTCAAATCTTTACCAATGTTTGGCAATGTTGAGCTTCTGTATTTTTGTACATTTAGAACACAGGTGTGCTCTCTTTCAGTCTGTTTTGTTCTGGTCAGTCAATTTGACTCTGTGTCTATACCATACAGTATAAATTATTCTACTTTTGACTTTTTTGTTTTTGACAGTCTTGCTCTGTCGCCCAGGCTGAAGTGCAGTGGTGTGATCTAGGCTCACTGCAACCTCCACCTCCCAGGTTAAAGTGATTCTCGTGCCTCGGCCTCCTGAGTAGCTGGGACTACAGGCCCACACCACCACAATGGGGTATTTTTTTGTATTTAATAAAAATGGGGTTTCACCATGTTGCACAGCGTAGTCTTGAACTCCTGAGCTCAGGCAATCCATCCACTCAGCCTCCCAAAGTGCTAGGCTTACAGGAATGGGTCAACGTGCCTGGCTGACATTTTATGTAAGTTATCTTAAGAACAAATTCCCAATTTTCTCAAAATGCACTGTTGGTATTTTGCTTTTCAAAAGAGGCCAATGCCACTTCAGTCATAATTTTCAAACCTCCTATCTCAGGGTTCAATGTCCTTTTCCTGGAGTCAGACAGTTGGCCGTGCCAGATTGCTGTGCACCGTCTCAGAGTATGCCAGGGCAATACCAGAGGTCCCAGATGTCTGCTCCTTCTGTCTCCAAGACGTATCCTGGTCCGCACCACTTCAGCAGGTCAAATACATGTGCGGCTTGGCCATTTGCCCTTTTATGCACCGTACTGTAAATATCTGTAAGCCACCACTTACTTACCTACTCTCCCAATATTGAGCACGCAGGTAACCTCCAGATTCTGGACACGACAAACCACTTTGTTCATCTTTGTGCTTATATGCTTACAAACCTGTGTGAGAATGTATTTGAGATATATGCCCAGGAATGAAATGGCTGGGTTACAGGTTATGTAGATGCTTTATCTGCTTAAATAACAACAGCAGCACCGATGTACACTTCCACATTACTCAACATCTTTACCTATGTTTCTCTGCATGTACACGTATAATGTCTGGGAAATTACAGTTTTGGCCTTATTCACACCATTCTACTGGAAACAGTTCCTCAACCCTAGTCCCCATACACCATGTAAAGGGCCTAACCTTATGACAATGTGGACTTGGGCTTCTTTGTCCCACCAGGTCCCAATCTATCTGCTTTCTGCCCCCTCCCCATGCATGAAGCACCTCATCCTCAAATTTAGGGAGATCTTGTCCAGTTTAAAAATTCCACTCAACCATCCTAAAATTAAAAGGTATGATTGATTTTGATGAGTATGAATATCTGTCTGGAGTGGGAAGAAGAGATGAACATGGTTTTTTTCTTCAGATGGTAAAAACAACTAAATAAAAGACTAACGCAAGAGACGTGAGCAAGCACTCGAGTGATGGCAACATTGTTCTTCGCTCGGAGCCCTACGTTTAACAGAACCGCAAAGCCCTTGCCAGTCTGTCTTCAGCTGGCCGGGCAACGGGGATTCCCCGGGCTGCAGCGCCTCATGGCCTGCTGCGAGCGCCGTGACTCGTCTCCAGTCTGCCATCTTGTGGTCTTTTCTGTTGCTGCATTCATACAGATTGACCCAGAGGGTAAACGCGGATTTAGACTTCACACAGCTTGCATCACTGCTCCTGTCTCCGTGGGACTCACAATAAGGAGATTTTGGCATCAACTGTGCTTAGGGGCAGGAGAAGGGTATATTTTAGGAGGTGAGGAGGAATCCATTCTTCAAATCTTAAGGATGTAAATCATAAAGGTGTTTGCTTGAGCCACTGTTGATTCATTGTTAATGGTTCATTATTGCCTGTTTTCTGTAACACTAAGAAACCGTTATTTCTACTAACTTTATGAAAAAACACAAGATGAACAAGTAAGAGTCCCGATTTTTTTTTTGATGGGTTATGCATACCTTCCCGGAAAATCTGAAGCCAAAGACTGTGTCTTACTATTTTCGTTTTTGCACTTACAGTTTCTGGCATAGGCTTGACACCCTATGAATATTCAATAAATGTTTGTTGAATGACTGAATGAATTGATTCTCCTACCAGTCTGAGCTATCAGTTATGTCTTTGTGACTAGATGGACACAATGTCTCCCATCCCTGCCAAGAGTTTAACTGAATTCAAGTTTATAAACAGAAATGTGTGTGTGAAGGAATTAAAACAATTCAGAAAATATAAAGTCTTAAAAACTACCTTTCCTAGACATAATGATTATTAATACTTGGGTATTTATCTTTCTAGATTTTTTCAATATTTCTATGTATTTATATATATAAATATACAAATATATACACACAGTTTCATCAAAACATAAAAGATTTTGGGGGGTAATAGTTCTTGAATTTGCTTATTTTTCTTTACTTTTTTTTTTTTTGAGACCGAGTCTTGTCTGTTGCCCAAACCGGAGTGCGGTAGTGTGATCTCAGCTCATTGCAACCTCTGCCTCCTAGGTTTAAGCAAGTCTCCTGCCTCAGCCTCGCGAGTAGCTGGGATTATAGGCATGAGCCACCACACCGGACTATTTTTTATTTTTGTATTTTTAGTAGAGATGGTTTTCATTATATTGACCAGGCTGGTTTCGAACTCCTGACCTTGTGATCTACCCACCTCGGCCTCCCAAAGTGCTGGAATTATAGGTATGAGCCATTGCACCTGGTTGAATTTGCTTATTTTTCTTATAGTTAATATGTGTAACAGCTCATTCCATGTTCATATTTAGAAGTCTATAGCATTCTATTTACCGGATGCATAGTGTTTCATAATATAAATGTCTCATAATGTTAAAATCATTTCCCCATTAGTGGAAACCTTTGTTCTTACAAACAATGTTTTCTTGTATAATTCTTGGCCATGAAACTTGGTACATACACAAATGTGTCTTTCTATAGGTCAGAGTCCAAGAAATGGGGTTGTTGGTCAAAGTATATTGCGTTTAAAATTTTTCACAAATACTCCTAAATTTATTAAGAATTGATACAAAGGCCTTGTCTCTCATGAATTAAAGTTAATAAGAAATACTGAAATCAGTCTTCTTTTGAATTTTTAAGGATGTGTTTGATGTGATCCTAAATAATGAGGCTGACTGAACCTCCTGCTTGCTAATCATTTGTATATCTTCTAGATACTTCTATATATGCTGGCTTGAAAAACTGGCAGAGAGAAGCATAGCTGGGCTTGGTTTTTCTTTTTCTGCTAATTTTAAGCAGCAGATAGGGCCCTAGAGCACTATGTTTGAGCTCTGAGAGTGGTCCTTCTATGGATTCATTTGGTTTACAAAAGAAAATTTTTGCAGTATCAATATTTGATATATGTTTGGCTTCATATTATTACATGAAATTTCTTTTTGTCATGAAAAATGAATACTTATTTATTACAGAAAATATTAGAAATGCAGAAAAGTATTAAAAATATAGAAATAAACTATAGTCTTATGAACCAGAGATAACTAACCTTAACATTTTGGTTTATATTCTACCAGATATATACGGTTTTAAAACAAAACACTATATTACCTTTTTATAATCCGTTTTTTCTCTCTACCTAAAAATATATTACAAACTTTCTGTTATATTAACATGGCATCACTTCAATGATTGGTTTAGAGAAAGCATAACCAAACCAGGTGCTGTGGCTCATGCCTGTAATCCCAGCACTTTGGGAAGGTGAGACGGGCAGATTACAAGGTCAGGAGTTCAAGACTGGCCTGGCCAACATGGAAAAACCCTGTCTCTACTGAAAATACGAAAAAAAAAAAAAAAAAAGTAGCCAGGCATGATGGCACATGCCTGTAATCCCAGCTACTCAAGAGGCTAAGACAAGACAATCACTTGAACCCAGGAGGCCAAGGTTGCAGTGAGCCGAGATTGCACCATTGCACTCCAGCCTGAGCAACAAGAGTGAAACTCCGTCTCAAAAGAAAAGAAAAAAGAGAAAGCATAACCATGTAACACTTCCAGCTGACTCAGAATTTACAAATAGATCTCTGATGCTTCAGACTCATTTAAACACATGTGATCTAAGGCAAAGAAATCCTACCTGTATGTTTGTATGTTCTCTGTCACTAATTAGAATAGCTATATCTTTTTGAGTACTTACCATATACTAAATGTTTTGACATTTAGCAAAAGATTTAGTATATAGTAGGTACTCAAAAAGATACAGCTATTTTTTTTTAATTGTCACAACTACCTTCAGAAGTAGGTATTATTTTCAAAATAATACCTACTTAATTATTTTTAATTAATTTAAAATAGTTAAAATTATTTTTAATTGTCACAACTACCTTCAGAAGTAGGTATTACTGTCCAAATTTTGCAGAAGAGGAAACTGAGATTCAGAGAGATTTAGCAAAGTATTCAAGAGCACACAGTTAGAAAATAGCAGGGCTTAAATTAGAATCCACGTCGATCTGCTTGCAAAACTGTTGCTTTTTAAAATTCTATTTGCTGTTTTTTTCCACATAGTATTTTCAAGTATGACTTTTGTTCTAAAAGTTGCTACCTAATATTAACTTCACAATTGAGTTGAAAGTAATTTCTGAAAGGAATTAAGACGCGTTATTCATTTTTTCTAGCTATATAAAAAAGTTAAAGCGAAGTGTTCATTCTGTTTTCATTGATGAAGGCAACCCTTCGCCTGGGGGTGGACAGAGAACTTCTGTAACAATTGGGACTAGAGCGCCATCTGTTGGCTGTAGAGTTCTAGGCACTTAATACAGGGAAATTACAAACTTGATCATCACTATTACTTAACAAAGAAAATGCCCTCAGCTGCCGGGCCGGTGGCTCACTCCTGAAATCCTAGCACTTTGGGAAGCTGAGGCGGATGGATCACTTGAGGTCAGGAGTTCGAGACCAGGCTGGCCAACATGGCGAAACCCCGTCTTTACTAAAAGTACAAAAATTAGCCGGGCACTGTGCCGCACATCTGCAATCCCAGCTGCTCGGGAGCCTGAGACTGAAGAATCGCTTCAATCCCGGAGGCGGAGGTTGCAGTGAGCGGAGATGCCTCCTGCACTCCAGCCTGGGCGACAAATCTAGACGCCACCTCAAAAAGAAAGAAGAAGAAGAAGAAAAAAAAAAAAAAAAAAAAAAAGAGCCTTCAGCAGCAATCTTGGACGAAATGTCATTAGTCCTCTTTAAAAGATCAATTTATAATTGATTTAAATTTCATTGAGACGAAATGTATAAAGCATAAGATCAGCCATTTTAAGCTGGACAATTCAGTGAAACTACCACGTATTTCTATCTCTTTCCAAAACATTTCCATCACCCCAAAGTAAAATCCATTACCCATTAAGCATTTTTTCTTGTTACCCCCTCCTCTACAGCCCTGACCACTGTCAATCTGCATTCTGTCTTTAAAGATTTATCAATTCTGGATACAGTATTTCACATAAATTGAATCATGGAATATGTGATGTTTTGTGTTTGGTTTCTTTCATTCAACATGATTTGTAGATATCGCCACATCACAGCATGTATCAGTACTTCATTTTTTTTATAGCTAGATACTATTATATTTTGTATAACTGTATTGTGTATATACACAATAGAATATATATGTCCCACAGTTGGTTTATCCATTCCTGTTGATGAACATAAAGTCTGTTTCTACCTTTTGGCAACTGTGAATTGAGCCACTGTGAACATGAGTTACATGTACTTATCTGAGTACCTGTTTTCAATTCTTTGAGTAAATATCTAGGAATGGAATTGCATTAGTCCTGATTTTAAAATAAAAATGTGGATGAGAATTACCTGATAGACCCAAAGATGTTTGAGGCCAAGTAAAATAATTATTTCCATAGCTGGAAAAAAATCAGTAATGAATCTAAGAATAAAAATTTTCTTATGCTTATCCACCACAATGATTAAGAAATATTAAAAAGTCTGCCTGCTTTGAAAAAGTCACTTAACCTCAGTAAGCCTCAAATAACTTATCTTTACAATGAGGACAAGGCAACTTACCTCATAGATTTGTCTTGACGATTAAATTAGAAAACACAGTGTTTTGCGCAGTGCCAACAAATGTCAGTTTCCTTGTCTTTTGTTTCTGCCATGACAGCTGATTTCATTTACCTAAAATTTCAGAACAGTGTGGACTTTCACAGCAAAAACAGTCTCTGAGTAATGAGAGGGGAGTTGATGCAGTGTTGATCCACGCAGTTGCTTAGCTGGATAGCAATGTTGTTTATCTTCCCCTCTGTGGCTCTCTGTGTCAGTGAACGTGAAATTTAGTTTTTCTCTTCTGGAGACAGCTTACTATATTTCTGCCTTAAGAGGAGTGCCTCACTCTGAAAATGATCTCAGAAGTGCTTGTGAGATGTTTGACAGAAACTATTTTTCAAAAACACAATCATTTTGTCTTTGTGTTTTTGAATCAGCAAACATGTTGATTCTTGTTTTTCAAAATGTAATGCTCATGCAAAGGAAATGCAAAAGTATATCCAAGGTGTTATTGACTTTCAGATATTCCTCTGAAACTTGCTGAATTGCAAAATCTGTGTGCCCAAAAGAAACCATATCTTTACAACCTTGCAAATATAGTCTGAATCTTAGTTTGAGGAAATTTCAATTGTAAATAATTGAGGGAAACGCTTATCTGTGACTGGCCTGACTTGATGAGCACACTTACTTCCAAAACAAAGTTAACTTCAGGGTTTCAAAAAATTTCTCTCTCTCTCTCTCTGTCTCTTTGTGTGTGTTTATGTTTTAAAGATCAAGGCCTTTATAAGAGGCAAATGAGAAAAGCTACACCAATCTTAGTGACAAAGAAAGACATAACTATAATAGGCTGTACAGCATACAAAGTAAATGCAATTTGATGTATTTTTCTAAAAGGGCAGGACAAGAGATGAGTAACTGCCCTCAGGGACCCAGTCAGCCTTAACATATGCTTGATCACATAGATTTCACCTTGAACACTAGCCATTGCACATTTAGTTAATTCTAGATGCTATATTCTTTATCTTCTTCTGTCAGGACACCGTCTTGTCTAGTGAATAATGTTATTCCTAATTTATAGATGAGAAGATCTGTGCTTAAAGAGATAACTAACATGTTCAAAGTTTACAATTCTATGGTGGAAGAGCTGGAATTTTATTTAGGTCATTGTAACTTAACCCCTATGTCTGTCTGTCTGTCTGTCTGTCTCTCTCTCTCTCTCTTTCTCTCTCTCTCTCTCTCTCTCTCTCTCTTTCTCTCTTCATCCTAGGGTGAAGAAGAGTGCTTACCAGATTCCCTTCTGGTCTGGAGAAAGAGTTTCTCTTGTGGATGTCATCTCTACCATCCCTTAGTGAAAAAGTTTTCAAGAGAATCCTAAGGTGAAGAGAGCCTTGGAAGTCATCTGGCCCAATTTCCTCATACAATTCAAAGCTTCTTTGTAAGGTAGGGTGCCATTTACTTTTATAAGGCAAACTTTGGGGAGTTTACTATTTTGTAAAGCAACTCATCGAATATTTACAGCTACAATTGTGAAGAAATACTTGATACAACTCTTTGAATGACCAGTTTTGCCCAGTAATGCTTTAAAATTATTTTTTAGTTATCTCATGTATTAAATTGTTCCTTTGTTTGTTCACTCAAAAAAATTAATTAAGCCAGGCTTCCTTATTTAGCTTTGAAATTCCAGTCCTCGATGGTTGTGAATACATGCTTGTTTCTACGAACCCCATTGGTTCTAGTTCATATGAAATTTGCAGGTAATTAAAACTCTGTCTTTTTTCTCCAAGAACTGTTGCCTAGTCAGATCTGTTCTATTTAACCTGCAGTTAAACTTTTCCCTGAAAGTGAAGCATTGAATCTTTCAGTTCTGACCCTTCTGCCAGCTGTTTGAATGCTAATTAATACCTGAGAAGGTATTCTAGTTTTCTGGTGTCTGCAAGATTGATATACATGTTGTCTGTGCCTTCATTTATATATTCATTAAACACACTGGATAGAAGAGGGTCAATTTCAGAATGCTGAGGTTCTGTACTATAGGTCTCTTCATGTTTTGACACCTAATATGTTACTTAATATTTTATGGAGTGGAATTATTCAAAGAAATGAATTCAAATAGACACCCATAGTCTACCTGCCTTCATTTTGCCTAAAACTATTCATGAGAAGTGGTTAAATGCCTTGCTAAATTCTTGTGAAAGAACCTTGAGCTCCTGCTATAATTGTCTGAAGCCTGACTTGTTTGACCAAGGACCCAGCCTTTAGGCATAATCCCAGAAGACAGGGTTAGGTTCAGAGGTTTAAAGGCACAGTGTCAGGAGAGACACAAACAACTCTTGTAAAAATAGAAGTGAAGTCCATCTTGTATGACTTTATTTTTGATCAATCTGGACTAGCTGTGATTATCTACCGTCTCATGTTTGGGATAGCCACAGCATATTTTAAGTATAATCTTCTAGAATTGTTCTTGGCATAAATTACTTTCCCTAGGGCAAGTTGTGCCATTATTTTCCTTCTCCCTCTGTGCAGCTCCATGATGTTCATTGTCACTTGGGTTAACACAGTTATTCATAAAATGTCAGGCTCCTAGAGGCTAATTCTTCTACGTCAGAGACTGGGGACATGTTTTGAAGTACTCACTGCTTCCTATGATCATAGTTAAATAATCAATTCAGAATTTACTCCTTTTTCAGTTCCCATAAGTATGATATGCATTTATTTATGGAAGTCAAGCAGTTATGTTTCATCTCTGTCGTTTTTGCAAGTCAGAGGAACTCTTTCTATCATTTTTTAGAAGAGTGCCCCGTAGAAGTTTGTTTGCGTTATGAAGATCAGGTCTTGAGAGATCCAGTCTGGCTCTTCCCTGTACAAAACATTCCTCATAAACAGAATGTGAGCAATTGCTAAATGTTAAAGGTAAAGTTATTGGGGGAACTCCTTCAGAAAGTTCAAGTGAGCGCTTATTCTATGAGTGATCATTTACACCTAATATTTTTCTGTGCTAAGTTACTTATTCTGAAGTGATTGATCCAATTCCTAAAAGGGAATGTTTCATTACCTTTTATTTCCTATAGCATCCATTTTTACCCCTTTATCAGGTTAATTATTTCCTGATTCCATTTTTCATTCACTCATTTATTGGAGAAATATTTATTGACTAACAGCTATGCTAGGTCTTTTATAAACACCTATCACTCTACAAAGTATTAATCTACTGGGATGTCCATTTCCTCCACTGGGATGTAAGTTATTTAAGAGTAATAATTAGGCTTTGAATCATTTTATGATCTGGCCTAAGACAATGGTTGGCACATACTATAGGCTCATCAGATGCTGGCTGAGTAGTAGAATTAAATTGAATCAAGTTGAGGGTATTATTTTGATGTTTATCAATTAACATCAGTAGTGTGTGAAGTGGTGGTCACTAAAAACATATGTCTGCACCCTAATTCCTGGAACCTGTGAATATAACTACGTGTTAAGAGGAATTATGACCTTAAGTGGATCTAGAGACAAGGAGCTTATCCTGGATTCTCTGAGAGTGCTCTAGATGCAATTGCATGTGTTCTGGTAAGTGAAGAGAAACATAGAGAAGAGGAGGTGGCAATGTGACCATGTAGGCAGAACTGAATTGGTGCAGCCACAGGCCAAGGAGACCCTGGGGCCATCAGAAGCTGGAATAAGCAAGGGATGAATTCCCTCCTAGCATTTGGAAGGAGTGTGGACTTGCCAACACTTTGGTTTGAGACTTCTGGTTCTAGGGAGGTTGAGGAAACCCTGCTTTACAGGAATTTCCATTTTTAGGAAAAGAAAGGACAAGCAGTGATGAAAATGTCTGAACTTCAGATAGTGTGAAGATGAAATCACAAGCTGATTTCATTTTTTCTGATTTAACCACTCTGTTGGTTTGTGTTATGACCCCTTTGTGGGCTATCTTTTTTTTTTTTTTCCAATCTGTGTTAGCAACTTCTGTGTGAATGTGTTAGACCTACAGAGATGCTCATCACAAACCCTGTTTTCTGGCCTGTTTGAAAAGTGAGTTGAACTCTGACCCGCTTCCTCTGGCTTATGATAAGACTTCACAACTATAAAAGCTACTTACTTGATAAAGAGCCCACGACCCACTATTAGAAACATTATCAGCAACACCGTAGAGATGATTTTTGATACAATAGATGTTGAAGTTTTGAATTATTTTTTAAAAAGTTCATTGTAAACTGGATTCATAATGGATATAATTGCCATAGTGCAAACCACATCTTCTAGGAAATTAAGACATTTGAGACTCAGAATTGGAAGAGAAATATCCTAATACTCTATTGTAACTATTAAAGAAAAATATCTATTATTCTTTTTTCTCCAGTGTACTAAAACTATATAATTGTTTTGGAAAGGTTAAAGTTAAAGGTATAGATATTTTAAGTATTGTTTGTACGTTTGTCTCCTCCAAATAAGTAAATTTTAAAGGCAGTAACTTTGTAAAAATTATTTCATATCTACAGTGTCTAACACTGTGCTTGGTACAGAAAAACTGGTAAGTAAATGTCTTTGCATTATTGGAGATGGTGCAATATACATTGTGTTTTTATGGAAAGGTATTGTTTTCAACCCCTAGAGACATTTGAGAGATGGTCATAGTGAGAGGCAAGTGTAAGTAGGGAGTGGAGGGAGAGGGTTCTGTCTACCCAGAGATGCTAAACGTCCTGCAAATATGGAGGACAGTCCTGTTCCGTGTCCTCATCTGTTAACATGAAGAGTCTCCAGTATACTCTGGTTCTCTGATGCTGCTGACGATTCTATTCTGGCTCATTAAAAATGTCTGGAAACTATTGTTGATGCCTATGGAATTAAAAATAGATTCAGTTATATTAGAAAGCTGCTTTTTGCAATACCTGTTAAAATTCTTAAGCAATAAATGCACTTTGATCAAGTCATTCCATATCTAAACATTTATCCTAAAAAAACCAGGTAAAGTAATTATGATGAAATATGTATATTATTCCTTGGTAAAAGAATAGGGTAACCAACTTATCCTGACTTTCTGTGGACTTTCTCCTTTTAGCACTGTAATTTCCCGTGGTACTGGGCAAGTCCAGACCAACCTGCTGTTGGCCACCATACAGCAAAATCCTCCCTTTTGGTGAGTGAATATTTTGAGATGCTGCTTGGAAATATGAAAATAGTCCTCAAATTAACTCCTAAGGGTTTAGATAACTTCAAGACTGCTTTTCGGAATAGATAAAATAAGTTAGGGATGGAGACAAATTCTTTGGGGAATTAGAGGTTAGGGGGGGCTAAATGAAAGATGAATTTGAAGAAAGAAGTAGATCCAGAGGTATATGGGTATATTGCCAAGGAACAAAATTGACTGATATGAAGCTTCTTTTTTTTTTTTTTTTTTGAGAGGGAGTCACTCTGTCACCCAGGCTGAAGTGCTTTGGTGTTATCTTGGCTCACTACAACCTGTGCCTTCTGGGTTCAAGTGATTCTCCTGCCACAGCCACCTGAGTAGCTGGGATTACAGACATGTGCCACCACACCCAACTAATTTTTGTATTTTTAGTAGGTTTGGGATTTCACCATCTTGGTCAGGCTAGTTTTGAGCTTCTGACCTCAAGTGATCCACCCAACACAGCATCCCAAAGTGTTGGGATTGTAGGCATGAGCCACCATGCCTGGCCTTGAAGTTTCTTTTCCTTATTCCCATAATATCTTCTGGCTGATATTTAAAACTTGATGAATTAAACAGATGTTTAGATACAGAAAAAGAGTGGATAAGTCAACAGGAAAATAAAGCTCAGCTCCACCCTACCACCCTACCCCACCAAATTCTAACCTATAGTATAGGGAGAAAAACAGATAGAAAATACAAAAAAGAGAGAGATTTGCAACACATTATCGATCTTGGGTTTGCATTCAGAATTTAAAAAGAAAGAAAAAGGCCCACTATAAATTGGTAAGGAGTCAAACAAAATGATGGAAATACAAGCAAAAAAATGAAAGGGGAAATCATATGATAAGAAATATTGATGATAAGTAAACACAGAATAAATTCAACTTTATCAGGAAAATGGAAATATGAAGTAGAGCCATTTTCATATTGAGATACCATTTTGTACCCTAATTTTTTTTAATTAAAAAAAACAGTCTTTTTTTTTTTTTTTTTAATACAACATCAAGCCTTGGGAAGGATAGAGATCAATGGGAACTTATATTCTAATGGTGGAAGTATTGGTTCATTCAACCACTGTGGAAAGCAATTTAACAGTATTTACCACATGATATAATATGACCCAGCAAATCCTCTTCTAGGTATATTTCCAAGGATAGTCTTGCACATGGCATAGGAGATAGGTGTGAGGATTTGTACTGCAACATTGTTTTTAACAGTGGAAAAACTGGGAAGCAATGACTTGTTTATGATTAAGTTAAAACCCTTATGATGATGTTTTGCTCCATCAGAGAGACATTGACTAGTGAAACTTCTCTTGTCTTCTTCTCTGGAGGAAGAAGAGTACATTATTTGTGAGTTTGATATAAGGAAATGAAACCGCATGGCTTGGCTTCTTTCTCTCTTTTTCTTACAAGAGTGCCTCCACTCCTGAAGGTGCAATGCTCTGCTTCTTTCCAGAAGTTTCACAGGGGCTAGTCCTGCCCTGTTGGTGTGGGGAGGACTGCACTAGGTGACCTCAGCCTACGTCTTAGGTTCTAGGGTTCAGATTTAGGAAGCCCATTTGCCCACACATGTAAGTCATATTTTTCGGTTCAGTTTCACCAGTAAAAAGATGGTATTTTGATGTCTGTCTACCGTCTTCCTCTGTCTCATTTCTTCAATGGGTTAGTATAGATGTGTGCTGTTTATTGGGCCTCTTGAATCCCAAGATTGAGAAATAAGCAAGAAATACACTTTGTGAAAGTAAAGAACATATGGAATAAAGAGGCTTCGGTGTGGGCAGGGTGGGTAGATCTATACTTTAATGATATATATTATGTTAGGCTATGGCCAGAGATGGATTTTTACCTTACTGAGTTTCTTAATGTAGCTTTGCATATATGATTGTGACTGATTTTAGAAAGGCGGGACTGCACAGAGGTCTTAAACATACATCTCTGGTCCTGCCCCCCCCCCCTTTTTTTTTTTAGCAAAAGCAACTGCTCAGCAAGTTTCAGCAAAGACATTGGCCAAGGTGACATCTTAATCAAATGATGGGGCCTTGAAAATTCAGATTGCTGCATCTTGACTTGATCCTACACCTGGATCAAATATTGGAGGTTAGGCTAAGGTGGGGTTAAATCTTTAAGCCAATGTTCATAGAACATCTCTGGTTGATTTTAAGCTGCAAGGCATTACTGAGTTCCACATAAATTATTGAACACTAGCAGAGGTTCCAGTTTTAAACTTTTAGAACTAGTCCTATATATGTAGCCCTAGATTGCTGTCTCAAATTCCTTCAAGAAAATGAATAAAATATTGAGAACTTGAGAAAAACTAATCTTGGATATCTTGGCTATGAGGCTTGTCACAGGTGAAAGGGTTACCCAGTTGTGTGTGAAGTCCAGCTTGCATGAGCTCATACAAGCAGATTGCTAAATCTTCAGTAATTTTGTGGTGGTTGATGACATGTTGGTAACTTGAAATTGGCCATGCAGATAATTTTTACACTACTGAAATCAGTAAACCTTATAAATCAGGATTCTTCTCCCTGCCAGACAGTTGTTAAACATTTTTCATCATATTTTCATATTGGCTTTGAGCTTAAAAATAACATAAGTTTATACCAGAATTGAAACCCAATCTGTGGTAGATGTTATTACTTTTAAACCAAAGAGGGTTGAGGAACCAAGAAAGAGAGGCCATTCTGAGGGAATTTAAATAAAGAACTTAAGGAAATTATTGCTGACCAAATAGGAAGACAACCACAGAATTTCATGCTGAGAATAGATGTCTTTATTAGTTTGGTTTGGTTAGGAATTCAAGGGTAAATTGGAGAGGCTTGAGACATATGGCATAATAGTAAAACACACAGAGAGACACGCAGACACGCACACACATGCAAACTGAAAGGTAGGCTGACTTAGATAGAAGAGGAGAAATTCCTTTAGGAAATTTCTCCTTTAGGAACTGTCTGTTCTCGTGTGTGTGTGTGTGTGTGTGTGTGTGTGTGTGTGTGTGTGT